ATACTTCACTCCAGGTGGACAAAGCGTCTGTATGGGCCTGTATCACAAGCCCTCATAAGGAGCATCTATATCAAGTCCGCCCAAGATAGCAAGATTACGCTATGGCTAACAGCAAGTTGGCTGCGCCCAGGTTCGATCCTCGGGGGCGGCATTTTTCGATATCAAATAACCTATGCCCGTTCGCAGTTCCTCCTCCTTCTCTTGTTTCACCATTGCTATGCTACGTTACGGTAACCTAGACGAGCAGCCTACTGCTCCTGAGGCCCTCAGTGGCAAACCGAGCAAATCTCTTGCAGAGTACTACGATAAAGTAGTTGAGTTCCTACGTGGACAAATCATCGGTCGCGACCAGCGAATATCAATACCGTTCGACAACTCCACCAGGAAAATAGTGTAAGCCTTGTGTGAGTTTTCTCTACCACTTCAATAGCTTTATTTTTTTTCGGGAAAAATCGAAAATTTTGTATTTTTCACTGAGGAGCGTTATTTTTTCGAGCGGAATTTTAAAAATATTTTTTTCCGCGAGAAATCGAAAAACTGAGGAGCGTTATTTTTTTCGAGCGGTATTATACGATTATTTTTTTCCTTGAAGTGAAAACTAAATTATGCACATTTTGCATGGTAGATTGTACGAGCTATAGGTGACGCGTTTATTAACTCTATCCAGAATTATAAGATTATTATAATCGATTTTCACCCGTTTTACGTGAAGTGGCGTCGTAAAACTCGCCGCGATATTCGCGGTGATATGAAGTAGTCGTGAAATATGTCTCTCATATCACTACGGTGGTGAAACTCCAATATAAATTATTATACCACTCACGTGTGAAACTCATGATTTCACGAATCACAAGGACACACTGTTGAGCCTCAGAAGTTGTTCGTCCAGAATCGGTTGTATTTTCGTTTTTCACAGATACGCCGATTACACAGCTTCTGGTAGGGGACTTCAGTGCATTGAAGATTTCATCACTCACAAAGTGCTCCCGGTGTACGCATATTTTCGTTACCATAATTCTCTCAAATCGTCGTAGATACGGCAATACTCATTCGATAGCATCAGCAACAGCGCGGCAAACTACGTTTTATCGTTCCGAAGCCCGGGAGAAAGTTCGAGCGTATTTCAATGCAAATCATCAGGATTCTGGTACGTGTGAAGTTTTCGAGTAATTTTTTATGAGAAAAAAATTAAATTTTTCACTGGGGGAAAATTTGCGCAGTGTAATTATCATAATTTTGTACTATTCGTCGTAAATTTACGAAATTTTGTCACTAGTGTGTGAAATGATTATTATAATATTCATGACGGCTTGGTAGAAATAGAAATATTTGTGGTATAGAGTGGTTGATGAAACATGGTTTTCACTAGTGTTTTTCATATCACGTTTGAAACTTCAATGGAGTTTCACGGGCACCCTAGTGATATGAAAAATATATTTCACGACTACTGCATATCACCGCGAATATCGCGGCGAGTTTTATGACGCCACTTCACGTAAAATGGGTTGTAGATATTACTCTACGTAAATTTGTAAATGTTAGCAGTGTTGGAAAGATATGTTTTTCCCATTCCTCACCTGAGCTTGGCAGTTTTTTCATTAATTGTATAATAATATTATAATTGTATTGTAATAATAATATTATATTATTCTCTCATTAAGTTTACATATGAATTCGGGTAGAAGTGTAAAAAAAGCAACGAGATTTTTCTCAGAATTTTCAGTTGATTATGTGCATATTATTTTCCAATATTGGAGTTTCACGATCATCCGTTTTACGTGAGGTGGCGTCGTAAAACTCGTCGTGAAAAACGCGATATTCGTGAAATATGTTTTTCATATCACTAAAACTTCACATGTAGTTGATCATGCGCATATTTTTCCCGTCTTAGTTATATTTTGTGGCGCGGGTGCTACGGGTGCTGCGAGTAAATTCTTGGAAATTCTGTGGAAGAGTCGCGGCTTCGACACGCAGGGCGAAGATGAAGATGAAGATGAGAGGAAGTACTTCACCCAGGACCGGTACGAAATTAATTTTGTGGCGCGGTGACGTTTTTTCACCGCTTAGATGGGGCGGATGCGAATGCACTTTATGTGGAGTTCGGCTGAAGAACGAAGCTGTTTACCGATCGCACGTGAAAACAGCTATGCATACTGATAAAATTATGGCAACAGCAGCAACAGCGAAGAAGAGAAGAAGTCGACGACGTGCGGTATGAAAATAATTTTATATATATTTTAATAACACTTGTTTGTAGGTTTTGATAGTTGATCCTGTTAACCACCATAGTTCGACTCTGCCATTTCGGGAAATATTACCACATTTTCCGATAATAAAGGGAGGGACGGCCTCAGGTGAGATTAGTGGGAAAATTTTATGAGAGTTTTTACTTTTCCAATTTCGAATTGAATAGTTGTCGATCGATTCATATAGTGGAGTTGCACAACTACCGTTATAAACTTGGCGAAAAACTAGGCGATATTCGCGGTGATATGCATCAGTAGTCGTGAAATGTGTTTTTCACTAGAGTGGCCGTGAAACTCCAGGGTAGTAAACGATTTATGAAAAATGTGGAGTGTTTGAGTGCACTTAGTGTTAGGAATGAACGGGAAACTAGTATGACTTTCTTTAGTTTTCATATGGGGTATGTCGTTGTAATTAGTTTTTGTTTTACATTCTGTGTAAAGTGAGAGAAGCGTTGATGGTGATGTAGTTACATACAGCGTAATAGTAGTCGTGTTT